TTCTGGGATCGCCTTGGCCTTTCTTGTTGATTCTCTACATACTCTGGCCACATTTCTATAGTCCTCCCAATTAACCAAAACCCTTTTTCACTTACTGTAAATTTCCCTCTTCCATTTGAGCTTTTCCAGGAGCTCCTTGCTTAACCATGCAGGTCTCCTGCTTCCTCTACTTGATTTTTTTTTTAGAGGCAATGCATTTATCTTGAGCCTGATGGAGGTAGAGTCTGAATGTTGATCAGCTCTCTTGTGCCCCCCTACCTTCCAGAAGCCTAACTCAGGGGATCCTACTAAGTATATCTCTGAAGAGGACAAAGTTAGCCCTCCTAAAGTCCAGGGTAAAAATTTTGCTTACTACCTTATTTCTTTCCCCAGCACAGAATTCTAACATATCATGGTCCCTACAGCCAAGACTGCCTCCAACCTTAACATCCGTGACCAGACCCTCTTTGTTTGTTAACACAAGGTCTAGCATTGTACCTTTCCTCGTTGATTCTTCAACCTCCTGCAGCAGAAAGTTATCATCAGGAACCTTTTCAACTGATTATGCTTGGCTGTGTGATAGTTCCAATTCATATCAGGGTGATTGAAGTCACCCATAAGCACGAGGGCACGTGATCTTCTAGCTGCCTGTAGAAGGCCTCATCAACAACCTCTTCCTGGTTAGTTGGTCTGTAGTAGGCACCCACAACAGTATCTCCCATGTTTGTACATCCTTTAATTCTTACCCATAAGCTCTCAACATCCTCGTCCTCTCCCACATGTTAAGCTCAATGCATTCTAGTTGCTTACTCGCATAGAGAGCAACTCCACCACCGCGCCTTGTCAGTCTATCTCTCCTGAAAAGCACGTAGCCATCCATGACCACATTCCAGTCATGTGAGCTATCCCACCATGTCTCTGTAATCTCGATGAGATTGTAGCTCTTCGACTGCACCCAGATTTCTAGTTCATCCTGCTTATTCCCCATGATATATATATATATACAGCTGTAAACACATTACGTTCCCTCCTTGGGGAGGCAGTGCTGGAGCAGTAAGCACACACCCTTCAAGCATCTAGATGGTCAAGTCCGAGACTTTGAAACTTGAGATGCCTCGAGCTTCAATTTGTACATCCTGCATTTGAACAGCCTCTGCCAGGTCCTGTGTGAGGGCATTGATCTGTTACAGCCATGAGGGATGTGCATTGGCTTTCTTCTCCTGGTTTCCTGTGGAAACGAAGCCTTTTCTGTCATGCTTTCTTTCTGCCAGCCTGTCCAACCCCATCCTATTGACTTTTTGAATCTGTTGGCCAATTTTAGTCCTATTTAACAGTAAGGCAGATGCCTTGATGATATTAAGGGTCTACCACTCTAATGAATGTTGGCAGCCAGATAGAGGGGAGAGATGTAATTAATGCCTGTGCTGATGAAAAGCCTCAGTGTGTGCTCGGCTTTTTCTAGTTATTGAGCTTCATTAACTCTGTTGTGAATGGAACTGCTTGGTTTTATATTGTGGGAGCATTGTTGTAGTGCTTTAATAGGTGGCTTTGCTTCTGTGGTTTATCTTATTATCATGCATAAGAGCTCTAATGAGGGTTAAAAACGCTATTGAGCATGATACTGCCAGGTATCAGCATTACTAATTCTGGGAGATAATAGAGCCACACGAGGACAAAAAATCTTTCCTTTCGCTGCTCCTTCTGACTTCTCTTCCCCGAGAGAGATTGTCCATGTGGCACCATGGTGGGAGGGCGTAATGGAAATAAGACAGACTAGTCTAAGCATCCCATTTAATCTGTGGGATAATCTCTCAGTTTACATGAGGAAGCTGATTTGACTTGCATAATTCAGGCATTTCCTCTCTTACATGATAATCTCCTACCTTTTTCACCTTTAACATTCTGTAAAAATGTGGAGAAACAGGTAGGTTTTGCCATCTGGACAAAAATCGTAAAGAAAAATTTACTTGAAACTGGGGTTTGGGCACCTGGTCGAAGATAGCCAAACCCCAGTACAGAGGACAAACAGCAGGAACATACATTGCTTTGAAGTTTTAAATTTTTAAAACATGCATATCAGGGGGTATGGATAAATATGATGCAAGTTCAAAAATATATGCTTTAGATCACTGCCTTGATTGCCTTTTAGACTTGAAATTTAGAATTGACCTGTCAGACTCTCATAAAATAGGCTGATTTTATTCTGAGTTATGCATCTGAGGCAGAAATGGCAAATAAGAAGATGCATACCCCAGTAACATGAGTCTTTTTAACATTCCAGACTTGGCTCATAATGCTGCTTCTAGATGATCTTGGTTCAGTTCCTGAATAAGTATGCAATAGGTGTATTTTTTTTTCCTGTGGCATGATATTTCAGCATTAGTTTAAGTGTAAGACAGCATATTCTGGTGCTGTTTTCTGTAGCTTAGCCTCTCTCTTGTGGTACCTTTAAATTTTATGTTACTCTAGTCTTACCAGCAACTGAAAATAGTAAAGTAGCCACTATTAATTGAGAAATGGAAAGAATGAATATATGTACATTCGCACTGTTCTTTAAGCTTTTATTTAACATATTTTTCATGAATCCTCTTTTTTTTTTTCCTCTCAACCTGTATCCTAGTTTTACATGCCAGAAACTGCAGGATGAGTTTGCAGGTTTGTTTACTTCCACAGCTGTTCCTTCCAGATGTTTATTACTCTTATCATGGGATATCTTGCCTAATTTTTAAAATGTCAGAAGCACAGACCAAATTACTGAGTGCCACGCACACACAAGTTATTAAAAAAAAAAATTAAAACAATCAGTTGTTCTGCTGGAATACAGAGAACTCCAGGGGATCTGCAGGCACTTTCACTAAGCAGTTGGCTTAGTATTGGTCCTAACTAGTAAAACAGCCTGAACTAGTAAAACCTTTCTGAAATAAAGTATGTGATTAACCTTCCTTGACAAATTGGAGCTATTAGTCCTAATGACCCCATGGGTTGGAACAAAGCAAACCTGACACTTTTGTTTTCAAAACTGTTAACCAGTAGGATTTTTTTTCTATCATTGTGCACCAAAGTTTTTTGACTTTCACAGATTGCTTTTAGACTTGTAAAGCATTCTGAGAGCAGCCCTGAATTCTCAAATGACACTACGGCTTTGTGCACCTGGATTTAGAATACGCATTTCTGATGTTTGTTTCACACCCGCAAGCATTATTTGAAGAGCATCCCATGAAGATGTGGAAAGACGAAGAGAAAGGCAAAGGGGAGATTTCCCAGGGAAAGTATGTTTTATATTTTTGTTCTCTTCTTTCTCATTCCAGTGAAATGAAGCAGAAGTTGGACGAAGAGGGTAACAAGTGCAGCATCCTCTCCAAGCAGCAAAAGTTCAACGAGCACTGCTGCATTCGCTGCTGCTCCCCTTTCACATTTCTTATCAACAGCAAGCGGCAGTGCCAGGACTGCAAGTACAACATCTGCAAGAGCTGCAGCTCCTACCAGAAGAAGGAGAAGGCTTGGATTTGCAGCGTCTGCCAGCAAGCAAGGTAAAAAGCCTGTTGTTTAGCAACCTGTATAAAGCCGCTGTGACCTGACCTGAACTTTATGTTTCTTGGTACTTAATGCTGGTGGAGTAGGACATGAAGTATCTTTTGATGTAGAGGTTGATTGGTTCCGCCTTTTTTTTTGTAGAGGTTAATTTCTTCCGAAGGTGTTTAGTTACCTGTTGCATTTTCCAGGCTTGCTTAGCTGGACTGATGAACCAGCAGGCAGTAATTGGGCTTAGCTTGAGCAGGGCTGGGTTTTCCAGGGTTCCTGATGGAACCTGAGCGCAGATAGTGGTAAGGCAGTTCATCATTTTGCGACAAATCCCTGCTGACGTGGGGAGTGGAAGGAAGAATAATGCTGAATAGATCATGCAGCTGTGACTGTGTGTCAGAGTGCTTTTCTGAATGCCAGGTTATTGGTGGGGATGCTTTGGGCTTGCTTTGGCAAATAACCAGAGAAATTAGTGGTGCAATCTGTCATAATTCTTAAGATATTACAAGAATATGCTGCCAGGCTTCTCTTTGCAGAGAGTGTCAGGGATTTAGTGTCTCACCCTTTTGAGGCTACCACTAGCAAACCAAAGCAAATTGAAGCAAACGCATAACAGCAGCAAAGTCACCTTGGATGGTGACTGTGATAGTCCTTCCAGGCACAGATTCTTTACCCTCTGGATTAATGTTTTGGTGCTAGACAGGATGAGGTTCCTTGCTCATTTATTAGAAATAGAGTATGCTTTCCATTTGTCTGAGACCACTTTTCTTTACTGATCACCAGAACACCCTGCTAGTGATACTCTGCTTTGCACTTTAACACTTGTACTAAAATAAATTAGCATAAGCCATTAAATTCATATATTTGCAAGTTTTCTAAACCAATTACTTTTTACTTCTGGACTGTAGAGTACTATCCAAAATAAGGCATACAAACATCTGACTGATGTTAACTCATGAAAACCACAGACATGCTGCACACATGCAGACTTTATGCAGTCCAAGTAGCTTAGATTTATTTGACTGTTTAAGAGAACTGCTCTGTTTTTTGGTTTTCACACTATCAATTTGACTGCGCCTTTGAAAAAAAAAAAATGGCAAGCAAGAGAAAACCTTTTATCTTCATAGCCTCTCAATCCAGAATTGTTTTGTGGTGGTCTTTATATTATCTTTCGAGTTTTTCATGGTGCCAAGTTGAAAGGTAGGGTTCTAGCTAGACTCTAATAATCTGCATCAGTAGCAAATGTAATATTTTTACTGGAACTTGAAAATTAATTACAATTAGATTAATTAGATACATGTTAGATTTTTTTTTAAAATGTACATTACAGTGAGAGTTAAGGAAAAAGTTGTTAAGGTCTAGTCTACCTGCAGAGCTGGGTGCATTTGTTACTGACTGGCATATATTTGGATGAATGCTAATGTAAAAATGGAGCAATGCTACTGGTAACATGAAAATTGTAACATAAAATCAAAATCTAGTCTTAGTGAGAAGACAGAACACCCTTCAAATAGTCTGTATCTTCGCAAACCCTGGGAACAATCCTCAATAAAATCTTTTTATTTCAGATGATTTTGTTTGCATGGCTAACTCACTGTAATGTGCTATAATGTCAGCAGAACAGAGCATATTTTTGTCGAAACATGGTAAAATTGATGGTAGATGTGACTTCAGCCTGCCAGAGGATACATCTCTTCTGCTTAGCTGGTGCAAGTTTTAGTATAAAATCTCTGTGAAGGGAAAAAAACCCACCACTAAAATTTGGCAAAACCTTGGGACAGTACTTGAGAAAAAGAAGAGCTCCTACTTAATAACTGAACCTTGTATTTATTTGTTGATGCATTTGGCTGTAACTAAACATCTGTTTGCAGGACTTAGTTGTGGAAAGCTAATGAAGATACGACACTGCTTAGCAATATTGTTTTGCTTTCAAGCAGGCAAAACCATCTGGTGAGAGGAAGCCGAACTATCTTTTACATAGTCAATCTCAGCTTGGAGCTTCGTGCATGCTTTTGTGAGAGTTGCCTATTTCTGCTGCCTGAGGTCCTCATCTGACATGAGAGAGAACTTCTGCAGAACTTGGAAGCTATGACTGTGTCGTGCAAATGCCAGGAAATGTGTTTTTTCCTTCTGAGGTAGAATTGTGTAAGAACATTCACTTGCTGGCATGGCAGAAAAGATGAAGTTTTAGCTCTGCCATATACCTGTGGTCCTTACTGTCGTATGGGTCTTGTTCTACTTTTTTACAAGTTTTCTAAATTATCCTATTCATATTGTACTTAAAGGATTTACTAATTTTAAGTAAAGAGCAGGGAAAATTATTTTCCTGCCTTGTACGTACTTGTAGAAATTGATGCAATTCCCCCCCAAAAATGCATGCTGCTCTATTCTGAATTTCTTCCTTCTTGTTCTCCCACCTCTCTCGTGTGTGTCCTGTCTCTTGATCTTCTCCTCCTTATCATGCTTTGCCATTGTGGCACATCACAGAGACCGTATCCTTTTGCTTTCGCAGCACCTGTGGAGAACGATGGCAATAGCTTGGATTTTGCCCAAGAGCCAGGAACAGTCTTTGGTTTATTCAGTTGTTCTGTGGCGGGGTGAGGAGAGAAAGAAATGTACAAGCTGGTTGCTTTAGCAGGTTGATCACTTCTGGGTTGTTTTTTGGGTTTTGGGAGGGTTTTTTTTGGTTTTTGTTTTTTTGCTATCCTCATCTATCTTAATCATTCCCGAAGTATGCACTGGGAAGAATTTCAATTCTGCTAGACAGAATAAAGCTGTACTTGCATAACATAGAGCAGCCTGCAATGCTGCACTCATTTTTAAGAAAAGTATCTAAAAATGGAATTGAAGAGGCGCGTAGGAAAGAGAGGTCTATTAAAATGGCTAAATACAAGCGCTAATTAGGCCATTTTTTTCCTAGCTTTAAGTAGCCTCGGAAGTTGAGTGTGTGGCTGAGTGCCTGAAGGACTAATCTATGTTTTAGGAGCTCTGGATTCCAGTTTTAGCCATTCACCTGATTGTCAAGTGACCTTGGGGAAGTTTCTGTCTCCCAATTTCCCCCTGTGCAGAATGGATTTAATGATGCTAAGCTCTTGGAGGTCAGTGGTTGAAAAGTTAAAAGCTATGGCTGTAAAGTGATAAGTATTATTAATGTACTGTTATTACAGAAGTTTTGCTGCAGTCAGCAGGGTTAAAAGCTTTGCTTTGTGTGTTGCAGTAGCTCAGAAAAGTTAAGTGCTTCGATTCTTGTAGGGAATGAATGAGGGTAGAATATCACAGCTTGATTTTTCAATGTTACTATATGTAAATGCTTGTTTGTGTTTGGCCCCATCTACCTTCCAAAAGTCATAGTAAAAGAAGTTATCAAACACTTTCCCTAGTAGGAATAAATATTATGTAAATACTGTGTAAAAATATTGGGTCTGCTGAACTGGGAGGAGGGGAATGTGAAAGGGTGTTAACACAGTTTTTTCCATGTAATAAGCAGCATACAAAGTAGAGATTGGACTTACTTCTCTTTGAGTTTTCCAAGAGCTGACAAATTGAAAGCTAATAAAAAATACACAGGATTCTTCAAGCCCCTGTGTCGGGTTGGTGGAAGTCGGGGCAGTCAGGGAAAAGATGTAGGGTTCATGGTGGTCGAACGAGAGATGGCAATATGTAATTAGAGGGCTCGAGTAAAAGATTGCAAGCTGAGATTTTCCTCCAAGAGTCAAGTTTTGTCAAAACCTAGCCTGTCACTCCTGGGTGGTTGCCTCAGTAATGCTTGTACCTCTTTTTTTGGTTTTCTGAGACGGGAGAGCATTATAGCTCTGTTCTGTGTCATCAGTAGCCGAAATATAAGACACTGCTTCAGAGCAGAAGCTTTTTGATCAGTCAGGAACTTCAGCCCTCACCATCTCTGAACATGCTGGGACACCTCTCAGCTTTTCCTCATCCTTTTCAGGACCACTGTACATTTCCTTGCCTGACAGAGGCAGATTTCTGATTCATGATTTTCCCCTCTGGGTTGTGTTTCTGAAATTCTCTTAGCGTAATGTTGTTTGGGAGATGTTTTGTGAAACATGTTGATCTGAAAAAGCTGTTCAACTTTTTTTTATTTTTAACAGCATTATATTAGTACCCGCGAAAGTCTCCTTGGAAAAAAGAACATGCAATTTTTAAACTAAATCTACAGATTTTTATTTTTTTTTTATTGTGAACAGAAAGAACTTGTGTAAGCAAGAATTTTTCACAACTTCTCATCTAGAGCAGATGTTCAATTTTGGGGTCAAGTCAGAGTACCTTTGTGTACCACTGCATTAGAATTTCTTTTTCTGGTCTTTATTAAATGGCAACTACGCTGGATTATTTTTTTAAGAGGGAAAAATCACATTTTACTTAATTCTGATTGTGTCCTATTACTTTTTTTTCCCCCATCATATAATGCATGTACTAAAGCAAAAACTCATACCGTAGTTAACGCTCTTAAGGTAGCCTTTAAACTGAGCAGAATGTGCTTTCAAATAGATGTCCTATTAAACGTTTTTTAATTATCAATAACAAAAGATTGCTAATTGGCTCAATACATTGTTTCAACATCTGCTGAGTCTTTGGGGTTTCTCCTGCTGTGTTTGTGCAACTATCAGGCTTTGATGAAGTCAAAGAATCAGTCCCTTGCTCCTGCAGACACTGACATTGCCACCTCCAGGAAGACTGCTTATACATGTATTGTATTGTAGTGATTTGACCCTGGCCAGCAGCTAGGTGCCTACACAGCCGCTCTGTCGGCCCCTCTGCTCTGCCAGACACGGGAGAGAAAATATGTCAAAGCACCGGTGGTTTGAGATAAGGACAGGGAGATCACCCGCATCTACTGTCCTGGGCAAAACAAACTTGAGTTTGGAGAAATTAGTTAAATTTATTAAAGAACAAATCTGAGAAGATTAGCCAGAGATAAAAACAGATCTTAAAAAAATAACACCTTCCTGCCATCCCTCCCTTCGTCCTGGGCAAAATATCAATCCCA